AGTACAGTACACTATGAAGAGAGAGAACGCTAACCTTGCTTGAGGCGTGGAGGACAGGAAGGCGGGTGGGGAGGCGGTTATTGTTTGGAGGGAGAGTCCCCCTCCCTACAGGAAGCCACGACCACGGGGTACGGGAGGGGAAAAGGCCGCGGGGCCTGTTCGTGACCCGAATTGGTCGTGAACAGAAGCATTCGTGACCCGAGGTACCACTGTACATTTTTAGGTGAAGAAAGTAAGTTTTTAGAGGCTTCAGACGAATGGGAGTGCCTTAATAAAACTGAAACACAAAAGAATGTGCAGCAGCCTTGAAGCTGGTGTGAATTAGGCTGGTTGTAAAGACCTTATCACAAACATCCCCATAGGAGGATGCGCTCTTCCTGGCATTTGGCACCTTGAATTGATTTGTTTCTTCTTCTCAGTAAGGCTATTGTTTTCCTTGTAGATAGTAGAGGGGCAGAAAGTAACTTGAGATCTATTACTTACTTAGTTATGCATGCCTGCATCATGATATGAATATGTCTGTCGGCATTCTTTTCCTTTCTCCTTTTCTGAAACGTATGAATATCAGTGCATCTCTTTTGTCTGCAGGGGTGTCTCTCACTATCCCTTAGTGGGGTCCCTCCAGTACATACTGTTTAATAAACACTCTGGGGAAGCCTTGATTATTTTGCTTTTGGGTTGTGTGTTTGATTCCACACTTCCTTACTTATAAGATTTACATGCTGCTCCAATCAGTACTGATTCTGAACAGTTTACATGCCCTGCGTTTGTCAATAAAGTTAAAATATACAATATCTATAATATAATACAAAGTTTAGTGCCAGAGATAAATAAAGTAACTCTACTTCGATTACCCCCCTCCAAATTACAAGAGGGAACAGCTCCCAATGTTTCCACTTCTAAGGAATTTGATACAGTTTATTGGTTACGAAGTTTGCCTTGCACGAACATAAGTTTTTAAATATTTTTCTTTCAAGTATTTTAAAAACTGGAGCATCTGTAGGGACAGTAAACTCAATTCCTACAGAGGGAAAGAAATCCTTGTGTAGTTTTTTTTTTCTTTTTAGGACTGAAAATACAAAACCTTGCTCCTAACCCTGTCCCGTAAGAGTTGGGAATGGTTTCATGCGCAGTTGCATGGAGAAAGGAAACATCAACTGAGTTTCAGGTTTGAATATACATTGTAGGTTTTTTCCTATAAAACGTAGGAGATAAATTTGCATTCCTGAATCCAAATTCATCCCTGCAATATCCAAAAATCCTTATCGCATGAATATACATTCTTGCAAGAATTTCCTCAACTTTGTGGCACATCTGACTTCTACTGGCAGAGGGGAATTCATATCATAATGCTACATAACAAGATATATATTCCAATAAGTTCTTGGAAAGAATTCAGCTGGAATAGCAGTGTTCCATCTGTGTGATTATCTCAATAAATAGTAGTCCAATTAGTGGGTTATCTAGCCTGAGATGCAAGGCTGCGATGCAATCAGGAGATTACGGTACTTCTGCTTATGAAACAAATGGAGAGAACCAGCCTCACCCTTTGCAAATCCTACCGGCGTACAAAGCATTCAATACACTGTCTCAGTCTGCATGAATATGGTATTGAAATGTTCTATCATGTCAAAGAGGCTGTTGGAGATTTGTAGGCTCACGTTCTCACTGTTCAGGGATGAGAATCCTTCTCTCTGCAGGACTTCATGCCAATATTTACAAATACTTGGAACCAGCTGTAAGATACACAGAAGACAATAAATATTATTAGCTTATGCAGAGATACATTTCTCCTATGCAGTTGTCCTTAATTCAGCTACCTGGATATACGGGTATCTAGCACTAAGAAAGGATGATTAGGGATGAGACTGGCTGACTCTCTAACAGAATTGCAAAAAGAAAATCAAAATGATTTCACTGTCACTGCCTCTCCTTCTTAGAAATGGAAGAGCCCAGGAAAAAAAAAGAGAGAGAGGGAGAGAGAGAGAGAGGGAGGGAGGGAGGGAGGGAGGGAGGTCAGTTTTCCCAATTAACTATAGCTTAACCTCAGATATTCTGGGATTACAACTCCCCAATAGGAGGCTATGGGCAGGAGAAGGAGTGGAGACTCCAAGAACGCAAGACAGCAGCTTAGGTGTACCAGAATGAATAAATAAATAAATACAGTTGAATAATTCTTCCAGGAGGAACAAATAAAGAAATGAGTGATGCGCAGCTGAACAAGGAATGTTTATCAGCAGTTAGAAGAACAGGCTTAGCATTTAGTTCCCTTTAGTATCCTTAGCTGTGCTGCATCTCCAGCAGCAAAATCCGAATGTTCTTATCTAGTCCTAGAAGGCAGCAAAGAACTTTTAAGAAAAAGACTGAGGACCATATTGATGCTCTGCAAATGCCACTCAGGAGCATTTATGGGGAAGATGCTCAAGGTGGCTATGCTCCTTGCAGAGTGGGCTGCAATATCCATCAAGGCAGCAGCCGCCTGAACCTTCCACCAATGGGTTAAACAAGCTTGCATCCATCTAGCAACTGAGATCTTTCAGAGGGCGGAAACTTGTGGAAAGGGGATAAAGCGATTAAGAGGCTAGCACTATCTTCCTAAGTAGAGTCCAATGGCTTTTGGGACACCCAGATTATATGTAACTGGTACTACTGTATCAACAAAGAATCTGTACACACAAAAACTTGGTGTCTTACAAAATATTTACAGAGATCCTAAAAAATATTTCCCTGGCAAATAAAATTGCCAATGGTCAACGTTATTGATAGCCTATTTTTCAGAGAAGAATTTGGTGTGCTCTGAATGGAAAGTGCAAAAGGGTGGCGTACCAGGATTTTTAGAAAAGAAACCTAGGAACAGGAAGGAGGGGACAGTGAGGTTTGATGTGTGGATATGCAAAAATTTATCATAATTATAGTCTCTTGGATCCTGAAAATACAGAAAACCTGACATTTTAATATGCTGGGTCACTGATACCGATTCATTTGTATCTGCAAAAAGGCTGACGTCTGAGGAACTGAAACCAATGTGGCAAGATTCTCTTTCTCTATCTGGTGTGCCTTCTGCCCCTGGAGCAATCTTGTAAATGCAACTGGAAGGAGACTGTGCATAATCTATAGTCTGTAAGGCTTGATGCTCAAATCCAGACACACAGCTGTAGCAAGTTCAGATCTGAATGAAGCTGGACTTCATTCAGAGTGCTTTCTGGATGAGGAAGCCTGGGCTGATGGGGATTGTATTTGTGCTCTTGCACCCTCCAAAGCAGCTTTTGGAGACACAGTTTTAGTTCTTAGGGCTCATCCACAAGCCACTTTGCCATGCTTTCCTCCCATTCAGGCATCAGGAGGAAATCATGCTGGGGTGGCAACAGATTGAAGTCCACTATTGTGATTCCTTTGAAGACAGAAATCCCCTTGAACAATCTTCAGTATGTTTTCTGGCACTGATACCCTTACCTTCACCAAGATCAGTTTGGACTCCTTGGGTTTGGAAGCAGAAAATTGCTGTCCGAAGCACAGATAAATGGTATAGTCAGGAGATGAGCTTCTTTGACCATCACGGAACTCAATCAGTTCTGTTAAAGAGAAAAGTCCAGGATTCATAGCTACATAAGCCAATATATGGATTCAGGAACAGAAAAGCAGGGCAAATAAATACGATCAAATCTAAGGATATTTTCATTGTGTCAGTAATCAATAACCCATTAACCAAGCCTTCCTGAGCTGATTTACAGGTTATGAGGATCTTCTGACGTCTCTCTAAAGATGCCACCATAAAATCCCCTGGCCCAATCCATATTTCAAGTGCTTTCCCAGACACAAGCATACTATTATTAACAGGGCAGGAAAGAATGCAATGAAGCAGCTTCCCCTTGTAATACCTCTGACATAATACCTGTGGCTAACAGCTGTGCAAATATCAACTTAAAGACATCATCTAAGCCAAAATCAGCCAATTCACATTATGGCTTAGCATGCTGCATGAAGCCAGATACTATTTATTTGGTGTGCCTAAATGAAGTTCCATCTTCTTGAACCATAAGACTGCAACTGGGGTCACAGCTTAGTACGGCAGCTGCTTTTCATACAGAATGTCCTAGGTTCAATCTGTCATCTACAAATTAGGCTGGAAAAAATGCCTGATGGAAGCCCTGAAGAACTTTTGCCAAACTATGTTGAGAATACTTGTATAGCTGCGCAGGCACACCTTTCTGCCCCCTGCTTGAGTCCAGCTGCATCATGATCGCTGGCATGAAGCCTTTTCCAACCATCTCCCTCTTCCTGCTACTATAACTGCTGCAGTCCTTGCCTGAAAGACCCAAGCCAGTATGTCCTTGATAAGAAGCTACAACATTTGCCACCTTAGCTTCTATCCTTAGAGGACTCTGTCTTCACTAAGCCTTATGAGACAACAGTTTTCAAGAACATAAAACAATGGTAGCATAGCTATAACAATACTAAGCAGAAGACGGTTAGGAAAGATTCTAATTAGCTTTCTTTAATTATTTCAACACAGATGACACAACCCCTGATCTGAGCACAAGGCCCTTTCCATAAAAAAGAATATCTGGCTCTGGCCTAGATCCTCACCTTGAAAGAACTGTTCATAGTTGAAGATTTCAGTTTCAACATTCCTTGGCAGCAATTTACATGGAGGGTCCTGAGACCGATTGTCCAGCTCCTTGGAGAATGCACAGAAGACCTTACAGGGGCCAAGTCGCTCGGCCCAGATCTTCCCGTTTTTCTGATATAACAATAAATTTGCAGTCTGTAGTGCAATCAAGGTATGCTGAATTTGCTTCTGATCCGTCAGCACCTCTGGGTTTGGAAACTGTATGATCTGTGCATTGTGCTGGTTGTGGCAGTTCTGCTGGTTGTAGGTGAACATGCAGCTGTTTACTTCTGCTTCACGCTGTAGCTTCTCACGGTAGAAGATAGAGACCTGTATGGTACATTGGGCAGCTTCTGCAAGAGCCAAGATTACACAGTATAATGGAAGGAGGCTCAGTATCTCTACATCTACGAAGTCTTGCATGCTGACTAAGCATTAGCGGAAAACAGAGAAGACAGAAAAAGGGGTTTGGAAAGGAACAGGCAGAGAATGATCACATATCTGATTCAGACATTCTCATCAACTAGGCAAAATAGGTTAACAAGAACATCTTGGGGGAAAAGGAAAAGGGATATTTTACAAAGGATTTTGCAATAGGTCTACTGGTCAAAACAGAAATCATAAAATTCTAAAATATTTAGAGGTCTGCCTAAAAGTTGAGGACAGCCCTTCTTTTGCCAGGAAGAAGCCGAAGGGACATAAAATAGAGACATTCCAGATACACAAACCCAAAAGTTAATATTTGTCATTGGGATTACAACTGTGAAAAGTGGTCACATTTTAAAGCAGGTGTTTGCTTTGAACTTTCTAGCACCTGTCTGATGTACATTCCTTATAAAGTAAAGGCAGGTAATCTATACTATCTCATGGTAAGGAGGGGTTTGGCCAACTCTCCCTTCTTTCCAATTAAAAGGTATAATTTTTTTTTAGCTGTTGCTGCTTAGATACTTTTATTAATTGCCCTCATGAGCCCACAGAAAATCCCTTCACTGACCTATAGGGTTCTGAGAAGGAACATTGTTGATGGCTGGTTCATCTGTTGGGATGGCAGCTGAAGGTTCAAATACACTCTGTTCCATCATGGTTTGCTGGTTTGCTATTAGCGGATAGCCATTCCTTGCTTCATTATTCATCACTCCATTTTCTTGAGGCTCTTCATCCAGATAAATGTTATCGACGAAACAGCTGGTATTATAGACAGCTCCTTCTAATATAAAGGAGAAACACCTTGAATATTCTCAAATCAAAAGCCACAAGTATTATATTTTAGCCACTGAGCCACCTTCACACTGGGATTTCAACATCGTAGATCTGACACATATACTTCTTGCTCAACAAAAACAAAATCTCTATTTTACTGGGGGAAGACTAGGGTGACATGTCAAAATCAGAAAGAGTTTGGTGGAAAAGAAGCTGAGCAATAGAAGTGTTGGCTGGCAGCTAAAAGTCCTACAATGGCAACAGTGGGTTAGACACCTCCAGTGGCTGATGAAAATGGACCGTGTACTGTTCATTTCCATCCAGAATAATGTTGACTGGTAAACCTAAGACAGACTGCAATTGACACTAATTAGGATTTATGAGCCATTAGGTGAGACTGGGAGATGACTCACTAAAATACAACCCTGGAAAGAACAGCAGTGAACGAGAAAGATGACCTTAAGGTTTGGCTAGGGTTGAACAGGGCAGACAAGCATCTGCCTGCCAAAGAATTAATTAATTAATTAAGCAGCCAGTCACCTATCTTCTCTTCAGTCAGGGAGAGCAAATGGAACAATGCCATTTCATTAAGCAAGTCCTTTCTTTAGATCTAAAGTGGTCAATGGGAAGTAGGGCTGAGGGGCTGGGGTCGGAATAATTCACACGTTAGGAACAGACACGTTAGGTATGTATCATCCTGTGTACAGATTTGCTTACTTAGAATGGTTTTGGAAACAAATGCAGATCTAGAGGGAAAAATGATTGTTTGGTACTTTTACTTTAGACCATGTCAAGCTATCAAGTCAAGAGGCGAGAAAATGCTTGCTAAGAATGCGAAGAAATCATGAAGCTGGTGAAAAGGTAAGACAACTTGTATACCTTTACGAGTAAAGTAAGAGAAAAATCAGGAAAAGTGTGTGATCTTGCTCTGCCTCCATCGTATCTTGAACCCTTTCTCTGTGCCTCCAGTGACAACAGCCATTCCCTGCACTGCCCTATAGAACAAAGTAATAACCAAGTGCCTCTCCCCTTTATGTTTTTGTCATTAATTAGTTTCCTAATCCCCCAAGACAGAGAGGTTTCCTCTCCAAGTATGGAGTGTTTAATTGGGAGTAAGGAGACAGCCAAGTAAACTCTCACTTTCTGCTGGATAAGCAATTAGCCTGGATTTTTTTTAGTCCTCTCCTACCTTTAATAAGCTTCCAAGGTCTGGGGAAATGGAAGTAGGAAGAGGGGAACTATCTTTTGACAGTGCAAATAGGAATTTAAGCCAGCACAGTGATCCAGTTTAAGGAAAGTTTATTAAAGAAGAAAGTAAAAATAGGACAGTGGAGTAAACCACCAAGAAGGCATAATAAGAAATAAACAAAATCCTACTATCAGGAAACAAGTGCATCTAGAGTTTCCACTAAGGCAACTCCCTTGGCCCAAGAGATCTATTTCCTGGGTTCAGCAGCTTTATTTATAATACCTCAATCAGGCAAGATGATGCACAACCTAAACTGATTCCTGAGTGTACTGATAGACTGTATTAGGACCAAGAAGTTGCTCCCTGACAACAGGGAAGCCCTATGGACGAGTTCCTATTCCAAAATATTAAATTCATAGTCTTAAGAAATTATCTAACTTTCATGCTCAGAAATTAAATCCCATATTCAGAAAATAATCTAGGTCAAGAGAGGGCAACCTGCAGCCACCCGTGACTTTCTTTACAGCCTTGACTGTACCCTGAGATGACACTGCTAGTCTGCCACCATATTTCACTACACAATTTCTAGTGAATTTTTGTTGGGAAATTAAATATAATAGGCGTGTTAACCCTCTGGTAGCTTTAACACAACTGTAAAAACGGATCCTTGCCTGCCCTTCCCCAAATTAAAACAGAGACAAACCTGCTTGAAATCCCACCTCCTCTTGTAATATCATAGCACCATCTGCCCATTGCAGCTCACAGCCCTTGGCCTGAAAAGCAGAACCCAACTCTGATGAAAGATGCTCAAATAGCAAGAACATTCCCAACTAACCAAATCTCTATGCCTGAAAGTCCAATGAAGATCAGAGGTAAAAAATGAAGGTGAGGTTTCTGCAAAGGTGGGGGACGTGGATAGCAATAGAAGGAGTTCCTTAACCTCATTCTGATCATACAAAAATATACAGTGATTGAAAGTTAATTCCAGTCCAATAAAAAATGTGGCATCCACCACTTTCAAGAACACCCAAATTAAAACCATCACATTAGGGGGGAATATTTTACCCAACCCCTATTGCTATTACATTAACTTCACATAACCTTCAAGCTCTTGGGGTTTATGTATGAGCATGTCCATGTATGCATGTGGGTGAGAAAGAGAAGGTGTGCGTGTGTAAGTACTAACTGGTAAATCTTCTATCCTGGGCTGCTGTCACATCTGTGTCTTTGCTCCAATGAAAATAATCTAGTTCTGAAGAAGAGCAGCAAATCTCAGAGGTAACTATGCGCTTTCCTCATTAGAACAGACTACTAATTGACTAAGTTCCAGTGTTTTGGGTGGTTCTACCTCAAGTGGAAGCAAATTCTCTCTTGAATGTTGTATAGTTGATTTTCATCCAAAATATAAATGCTTTGATAGATGCATGTTTGAAGAATTATGGGAATAACAGCCTGTTTGAATTCACACATTGTGCTAAGCTACAGTCTGGTTCAGCTGGTTGTGGTCTAGCACAAAGTGTGACCTTAGTCTAATCTTTCTTCCTTAAGAGTTATTAGTTGTCCTTGGGCAGGAACTTCACATAGTGAAACTTCAACCTGCTCTTTTCTTATATAGTCTTCCATTTGGGTTGAACTCAACTAGGTAGGCTGCAGAATACTTTACTCACCCAATTGGTTAAATTGATTTGTACCAGGAAAGTTTTGTTGAGCGTGTGACACTGGAAAAGCAATGGTGGACTGGGAAATCTCATTTGTTGTGTTTGCAGGTAGCCACTGGGGCCCTTCTTGATAATGGTTATTTGCCACAGGTTCAACCATTCCCTATAGGTAAGCAGCCATTTTGGTTGACCTGAGGGATTTCACAGGAACTTCTTTGTTCATACCGAATAGCATTCCTTGGTGAATTTGGAAAAAAATAAAACAAGGTAACTAGCAGGAAGAATCTACAGCCTCTATAACAGATAAGAACAAAATATAATAAAAAGAGTTTTGTAGGTAACCCCTCTTAATGTACTTTCTCTAGCCACTGGTTTTCTCCGTAACACTCCCTTTGTTTCTGTTGGATACAAACCTAGCATGAAGACATTACATGCCTAATTTAATGGAGCTGAAGAAACAGTCCAGAACACAAGAATTTAAGCAACTGGCACAAGAACATTTCACTGAGGGAACAAAAATGTGTTTGGTAGGGAGGTCAAGGGGAGTCACCTGTTTTTCTCCTTTCTTTTCCCTTTTTTTCAGTCCAGACTAGTCCTCACCCAGAGAGGCAGATAAGGAAGACATGTAAGGAAATTTGGCTAGGAGAATTAGCAGGAAAGACTCCAAGCAATATGTGAAGGATCCATCACTGTGATCTGCAAAGTATGTGCTATGTGTCTTTCTGCTTGACATTGTAGAGGGCGTAGGGAATGGCCTTGAAGGATGGAAGGAAGAGCCATTTCCAAGGCAATGATATACAGCCAAGGACTCAAGTCAAGAAAGCAGAACACAAAGGCAGAAGGAGGCCAAGATGGGGACTCAGGATTTCAAAAGAAACTACAACAAAGAGGCCAATAGCTGGTGTCACTCAAAATCTCAGTTGTTTTTCCATCAACGTATAGAGTATGGAAACAGAGAACTAGAGATTCTAACTCAGAAAGACATGTGATCACTCAAACCTGGTGAGATAACATTCAGAATTGGCACTAAGTACCAGAAGACTATGATTTCTTCAGAAGGAACAGACTCAAGAGAAAGGGTGGGGGGTGTTGCACAATATACAAAGAAAGAATATACTATCACAAAAATTCAGGAATTAGAATATGGACATCCTGTTGAGATTATCTAGGTAAGAATCAAAGGAGAGAGAAGTAAAAGTAATACCACCATGGGAGTTTCTTACACACCATCTGGACAGGCAGAAGATACTGATGAGGATTTTCTGTATCAGATGACCAGTCTTTTGAAGTGTTACACAATAATAATAATAATAATAATAATGAGAGATTTCAGTTTTCTGGATATCTGCTGGGAATCTAACTCTGCCCAAAATCAGAGGTCCAACAAATTTTTATCTTGTCATGTTGACAACTTCATTTCTCAGAAGGTGGAAGAAAAAGCAAGGGAGCTATCCTCAATTTAATCCTCATCAATATGAAAGAACTGGCTCAAGAAGTGAAGATAACTGGTGCCTTGGAGGAAAGCAAATGTGTTGTCCTTGAATTTGTGATAACCAAGAGAGGAAGCACTTCAGTAGAGAGGACTCTGATGAACTCAGAGGAAAGATAGATTGCATCCTTGGTTTTCAAAAAAGTGTCCAGGAAGAATGAGAAATCCCATAAACAAGATACTGAAGGTGCAACTGCAAGCAATTCCCACAAGATGGAAAAATGGGGAAAATCTAAGGAGGTCAGTATGGATATATGCAGAGCTTTTTAAAATGTCAAAGAGGGGGAAAAACAGCATGAAAAAGAAGGAAGGCAACATAACCAAAGTATACAAGGTAGTCTCCAGAAATCGTAGAACCACAAAAGTTAATGTTCAGAATGTCCTGATGCTTGCAAAACACACGTACAACAAAAAAACAGTTTTCTGGGCATGTTCAAAAAGGGGAAGGAAGACCTGGGGAACTACAGACTTGTCAACTTGGCATCTATACCGGGCAAGGTCTTCAAACAGATTATCAAGCAGCATCTTTCTGATCATTCACATAGACACGCTACAATTAACAGGAGCCAGCTTGAGTTTGTCACAAACAAACTGTGTCAGACATCTCATCTTTGTTATAGAATGACTAGCATAGCATATCAGGGGAATATTATAAACCTAGTGTATCTGAACTTCATCAAGGTCTTTGATAAAATGATTTATGATACGCTACTTAACAGAATGCTAAAGATGATACCACTGTTAGATGGACTCACAGTTGGCTGAATGATCACACCCAAAAAGGTCTCGCTAATGGCTTCAACCCCTTCATGGATCACTGCCTTGTCGTGGCGAAGGGGCTTGCGTAACTCAGCGAAGCCA